ACTATTGAGGAGTAGGTAGCACCGTCGTTGGAGATTTCGGGTCAATTCGATTAAGGGACGTGTGGTCACTAAAGCAATGTTAGGACGCCTTAGCGGTAACCCTAATGTCTTAGATCATTTTTTCCGAGGCAATCGTTTTGAGGCAACTTATGATATTTGGACAAGAGGACGACCTCTAAAACTTCCTATACTCAATGACCACTTTCGAAGGCAACTAAGTGAGGTGTACCCTAAGAGTGCACATGTGCGAGTGTGTTGTTTTTCAATTATTTATCTCTGTACATGTCATGGGTGAGCTATGTTGATTTTAGGTTCATACATTTGATCTTGTCATGCATTCCCTATTATCAAACATCTAACAGTGTATAGTTGCGGAATTTAAATTGCGAAAATTAAATCTAAACTATTACAAGGCGTCGGGTATTTACATCGCCAAAAACAACCCTTTAATTTAAAAGTGCGGAAAGTAAAAGAAAGCGATAAAATAAAGTCCTATTTAAAGCTATTACATTCCGGGAAGCAATTACAATATTGAGTAAATATGGATCGCGTGCGAGAAAATTAAATCGGGCGCATTTTTTAGGGTTTTGACCATTTTGAAAAGAAAGCATTTTTTTTGTTATTTTTTGAATTAAAAAAGAATTAAACCTAAGCTAATTATTAAATTAATTAATGCAAATATTTTTGGATTTTTTATATTTAAGGAAATAAAATAAATTTGGTCAAAATTAATAAAAATCTAATTTTCTACATTAATTTTAATTATTGCAAAAATATTGAAATTATACCTAATTAAAGCTAAATCAATTAAATTAATTTATTTACAAAAATAAAATGATGAATTTAATTTTAATAAATAAAAATAATATTTTTTGTGTTTTTGATTTTATGAGGGAAAATAAATTATTTGGTTAATTAAATAATAATGATAATAATTAAGTAAAACAAATAAATAAAAAGAAAATATAAAGAGAAAAGAAATAACCCATTGGGGGGGTTTAGGCCCAGACTGGAGGTGGAAATTGCAATTCAGAGGCCCAAACGTGCAAGCCTTGTTTGACATTCTGGAATTCCATGCACATGCGTTGACTAGGTCTTATGGTGGTCATCACTTTTAGGCCATCAGATTTGGCCTGGAGGCCATCTGGCACCTTGAGATCTGAGGGAATATGATGCACTGCAAGGCATGAGATGTGCTAGAATATTATAGCGATAAAAAATGTAGCGGGGTAAATCGGAGATCGAATTATTGATTAATTTGTCTCACAAAAGCAAGAGTCGCCACCGCGCTTTATTATTTCCAAGGGAAAAAGGGAAAGAGCGAAATAAAACCCTAAATATGCAATGTAAAATAATACTTTTAAAAGTAATAAAAAATACACGGCGTTTTTGAAAAGAGATCTATGGTTCGGGGGTTGGTTATACAGTGGGAAGGTATTAGCACCCAATGTATCTATAGTACTCTATAGGAACCTTTTGAAATATCTGTTTATTAAAATTGTTCGTCTGATTGAAAAAATAAATTGTTTTGGCCGAAAAAGGGGTACGGACGGGTTTTTGAAGATACGACGATCTAATGTCGAAGTTTTTGCTTAAAAGGTATGAGTTTTGAAAAGATCGGATATTTGAGGAAAAATTATCCTAAGTTTTAATGAAATGCGAATGTTCGCGCGATTAGACTTGAGGACATGAAGTCGACAAATTTAATCGTTTTTCCCTTGGATTTAAACGTAAACAGAATAATCAAGTAAACAAAAAATTATGATAAATAAATGATATACAACAATTTAAATAAAAGACTAAGTGGTGTAAATATGTACTTTGTTTAGATTTTTGTTTAATATTAATAACGCAAGAGAGTCAACTAAAGAAAAGATAAAATGTTTTAAATCTTAAATTCTATTTTTTTTTTATATTTTTGTATTAGTATTAACTAAAACGAGTGAATTAATTAAAATAAGTAAAAATGTTTTTTAAGTTCATTATTATATGTTTTTTTAATAGTTTTTATTAAAGCATTATTTTATTAATTACTAAATTAAAACTTAAAAGGTTATTAACTTAAATCTAATTAAAAGAAATACTAAAAATTATTAAATTAGTCCTAAAGTTAACTTAATAAAATGATCAAATTATTAAAATGTTTTAATTAAATACATCTCTTGTTTTTTATTACACTTACTAATTAACTAATGTAATAATAATTTCAAAAAAAACTAAAAGAAAACAAAATAGAAATGTGTATCAAAGGGGAAAAAAAGACAAGTAAATATATGGGTTAAAGATTTTTAAAAGGCCCAAACAAAACTGAAAACGGGGGGTGCACAAAGGATTTCGCTGGGCTTAGGCGTTTGAAGTTTAGTCCAATATGCTTCTTAGTCTGTTTTAGGGTTAAACAAAATTATTAGTTGAATTAGGGTTAAACCAAAGTTACAACGCCGTTCTCTCTTATTCACGCGTTCGTCTTCTTCGATCGTCTTCTTCTCCGATCGTCTTCTTCACCTTTGCTTCGCTACTGTGTCCTTTTCCATGGCTACCAGCTTCTCCACTTTCTTCTTCTTCCCATGGACGCTAGGGGGCGAGGATTTACGGTAAGTTCGTTTTCGTTCGTTAGGTTTCAAATACTGCATGTTGTGGTTTTCGCCTATTCTGATTCTTATTCATTTTTCAAATGATTATTGAGGTATTGAAAGAAAAGCAAGAGGATCGTTACCTGGAGATGGAGGAGGAGGGTTGAGTGCGTAGGAGGCCAAGGCAAAGGGGAAACGTGTGATGCTTGCTAGCTACTTGACCCTGGTACTCTGTATTTGTATCTTTCTTCTTCTTCCTTTGGTTCGCCTCTGTATGCTTTGCTGGGTTGCCTTGATGCTATTGTTGAAATGAATTTTGACTAGCTTCTTTTCTTCTTCCTGCCTTTACTACTGTATGCTTTTTTTATGGCCAATGATGAACATATTTGAGGCCTTCGTGTTTGGACATGTTACTGTTTTGACATTGGTTTGATAAAAAGCTTGCATAGTCCTGGGTTTTGCTTTGGTTGGATGGACAAGGGGTTATGGTTTTAGGCTATTACAGGTTGCACTGGTTTTGGTCGCGATACAATAGGTTTTGAGGCTTGATGGTTTAGGCCATTACAAGTTGTACTGGTTTTGGTTTAGGTCATGGTTATGTGACAGGTTATTGATACAAGTTTATTGGTTTTGATTTTGGTGATTTTAAGGTTTGTGTTTAACAGGTTATGGAACAGGTTATTGATACAGGTTTATTGGTTTTGATTTTGGTGATGTTAAGGTTTGTGTTTAACAGGTTATGGAACAGGTTGATGGTTTATGAGATAGCAGGTTAATGGTTTTTTTTAGGCCATATGGTATGATAGTTTTGAAAATGGTTATGGTGTTGTTTATGTTGGAGGAAGGCTTTTGGTCATGTTGGTTTGATGGTTTATGCAGTAGGTTCTGAAATGATTCTATGCAGTAGGTTCTAACTGGTTTAGGCCATGGTTGTTTATGGTTATATGCAGGTTTAGCATTTGGTTTTAGGCCATGGTGTTTATGGTTATATGCAGGTTTAGCATTTGGTTTTAGGCCATGGTGTTTATGGTTATATGCAGGTTTGACAGTAGGTTCTACTGGTTTCTTGTTTTTAGACTTGGAGAAAAATGGTTTTGTATCTTTGTTTTTTACAGTTTTAGTGTGGAAGGCCCTCTTTTGCAGGTTATGAACTCTTGGTATTTGAAGGGGTTTGTAATGTTGTATATATCAATATGCTGGCTTGGTTTACGTTACAGGCTTGGTATATTTTGGTATCTTTCTTGATGCTCTGCACCATACTGCTCCAACAGTTTGTTTGTATTCCTATTTCATGCTTCTTTTCTCTTACTGCAATACTGCTGATTTGTTTTGTAACTCTTTCTGCCTAAACCAAAACCTGTAAAACCAAACTTCTATCTCTCTTCTCTCTCATAGGTACATTTTGAAATAAAATGATGCTATGTACTAACTGTTCTGAAAGAGCACAGGGCTGGGAAATGATGTAAAAATGGAAAAATGCTTTGCTTGCAAATTGGTTTTAAAATTGCACACTTCTTCTGTCTATTGCATGGGAGCCTAAGTTTTTGACTTCTTCCTATGTTGCTGCATGTTTACGTTGGCTTTTGTGTACATTGCATATGGGACTTGCATATGTTGTTGCTATGCATATGATGTTAATTCTTTGTATGCTATTTTGACAAACAATTGAATTGATGCATATGCTGTTTGAAATATGCAGTGGACTTTTTGAAAATGCAATTGATTTTAATTATGCAGTTTGAAAACAAAAATGAATTTGTGCATCTTTTTTTAATTGTGCATTCATTTTGAAAATAAAAAATTCATCCCTTTTTGTGAACCGGGAGAAATCCCGCGATTTGCAAAAAGGGTAAAACTGATTCCAGCCGTCTGCTTTTAATGATGAATACTAAAAATAATTTTCTGCTTTTAATTATTTATTTATTTCTAACTTTTTCTTTTAATTGTTTTGCAGGTAAAATTAAATGAGCAGACAAAGAAGCATTGGATAGAAGATGAAGAATTAGAATCTTAGAAAAATAGTTTTTATTTTACTTTGGCAAAATACCCTTTTTAGTCCTTTAACTTTACCCCAAGGTCCATTTTGGTCCTTTATCTAAAAAAAGTGTCAAACTGGTCCTATAATTCTTTCAAAAGGACCACGTTTGTCCTTTCCATCCACTCCGTTAGTCATGTTTAATGGCAGCGCTTATGTGGCATTACACGTGGGTTTAGAAAAATTGCATGTGGCAATTCCACTTAAAAGTCAGTTTGACACTCTTATGTGGCATTACCACTCATCCATTGCATGTTTCCTTGAAGGTGAAACCAGACTTCTCATCAGAGGTAAGTTTCTGCTTTCTGCAAGAATTCTATTTTCATAGTTAGGGTTTCCATGAAATTCGTCTCCCTTCTCTGAAATTCATCTCTCTATTTAGGGCATTGTGTGTAATGGAGGAAATTCTTAATATTACGATACACCACAGTGGTCAATTTGTTAGTGAGGACTTGAGTGTGTACGAAGGAGGTGAGATTGCTGATTTGAGAGTAGATGATGATATGTGGGGTTATTTTGAGTTATTGGGTGCTATTAAGGAACTAGGTTACCCAGCCATAGAGAAGATATACTATAAGGATCCAACTGCTGGAATGAATCTGTTGTTTGATGACAAAGGGGCCTTAGAGATTGCTGATCTATATAGGGTTCATTTACGTGTTGAAGTCTTTATTCAACACCCATTGTCACAGCCTGAGTATGTTGATGAGAGTGAAGTTATTTTAGATGAGATACCCCTGAATGTAATGGAAGATGACGCAGTTAGACAAAATTAGGTAAGTGAGGATGATGTTGGACAGAAGGAGGCAAGTGAAGATGTTGTTATACAGAAGGAGGCAATTGAAGATGTTGTTGGACAGAAGGAGGCAAGTGAAGATGTTGTTATACAGAATGAGGCAAGTGAAGATGATGTTGGACAGAAGGAGGCAAGTGAAAATGCTGTTGGACAGAACGATGATGATAGTTCTGATGATGATAGCTCTGATGATAGTAGCTTTTCGTATGATAGTGCAAAGGAGGTTGTATTTGATGATGAAACTGATGACTGTGATACTGACTTGGAAGAGGAAGAAGGTATGGCAGAAGTAACTGATCTCTGTGAAACTGAACCAAATAAAGAAGATAGTAAAGGAAGTGATAAAGGAAGTGATAATGAAAGTGAGGATCTTGTAAGTGATTGTGATAGTGAAGATAGCAATACTACCAAGAGAAAGAAGTATCCCATTTTCAAGCTTCTAAAGGATATGTCCAATTACAAATGGGAAGTGGGTACATATTTTAGTACAAAAGAAGATATCAAGGAAGCAGTTACCTCTTATGCAGTCCAATCTGGCAGAAATTTAAAGTACATCAAAAATGACAAGATAAGGGTTAGGGTTAGGTGTAAGGATGGATGTGAATGGGAAGGTTATTGGGCTAAGTTGGATGTTGAGGATACTTGGCAACTAAGAAAGGTGATAGACACCCATAGTTGTAGTAGAGAATATCATGTGAAGTTGTTGAAGACTAAATGGCTTAGCAAGAGGTTGCAGAATGCACTTAAAACCAACCCTAGATTGAAGCTTAAGGACATTAAGGAAAAGGTGCAGAGGAAGTGGAATGTGGGGGTCAACAAAACCAAGGCTATAAGGGCTAGGTTTGCAGCAAGAGACATGGTTGATGGGTCATTCTTAGGGGATTATACAAGGATTTATGACTATGCACATGAGTTGTTAAGATCTAACCCAGGGTCAACTGTGAAAGTACATGTCCAACCAGCTCAAGAAGGTAGTGGTGTTCAGAAATTACACTTCAAAAGGATTTACATATGCTTGGCAGCTTGTAAGGAAAGCTTCAGGTTAAGTAGACATTTCATAGGGCTTGATGGATGTTTTTTGAAAGGGCTTTGTGGAGGTCAAATCCTGTCAGCCATAGGCAGAGATCCCAATGATCAAATGCTACCAATAACATATGCAGTAGTGGAGAGTGAAAACAAGGAAAGTTGGACATGGTTCTTGGAGCTGCTTATTGGTGATCTAGGTGGAAGAGAAGAGTGTCTCACATACACTTTTATTTCTGATCAACAAAAGGTATGACTCTATTGTTAATTCTCAATTGATTAGTATTTTTAATAATTAAATTCTCATGTTTATCTTGGTATTCTCATGTTTAATAATTAAGTTATATACATATCATGACCGAGGGATTATTGCCTGCAATGGAGGAACTGCTGCCTACAGTTGAACAAAGATTCTGTGTTAGGCATCTCTACAACAACTTTAGGAAGAGATTTCCAGGAAAAAAACTAAAGGAAATTATATGGAAGGCATCCAAATCAACTTACTACCAAGCTTGGGAAAGAGAGATGAAACTTATGAAACATATCAATGGAGAAGCATACAAGCACATGATGTCTACCCCTCCAAGGTTTTGGAGCAGATCATACTTCAAGACTCATAACAAATGCGATGCAGTTCTCAATAATATGTCAGAATCCTTTAATAGTGTTATTTTGGAGTCAAGGGCCAAGCCATTAATAACCATGGTGGAAGAAATTAGGATATACATGATGGAGAGACGGGCTACAAACAGGATGAGGTTTCAGAAATTGACAGATGTAGAAGTGTTGCCAAACATTATGAAAAAGGTTGAGAAAACAAGTTCATTCACAAACATATGGCTTCCCAGGTAAAATTATTAAAACAAGCATTTTTTGTGTTAGAATGTCTGACTTTGGAATGTCCATTCTCATCTTAATTTGGAATGTCCATTTTTCTGTGTTAGGATGTCTGATGAGCATATGTTTGAAGTGAGGCATCTGGAAAATTCTGCTGAAAAATTCACTGTAAACTTGAAGGAAAAAATCTGTTCATGCAGAAGATGGGAGCTAACAGGCCTACCATGTGTTCATTCACTTGCAGCAATCAAGAATAGGAACCATAGGATTGATGAATACATTCCTGATTATTACAGGAAATCTAGATATTTGCAAGTGTACAAACCTGTCATATTCCCTGTTAATGGCTCAAACCTATGGGTTACAACTGAGTACCCTGATGTTATGCCACCCAAATTCAGGAAAATGCCTGGAAGGCCAAAGAAAAGGAGGAATTTAGAGCAAGGTGAGCTAGATGGTACTGATAAAAAGATGAGACGAACAGGATTCATTATAAAGTGTAGCAGGTGTAAGCAGGTAGGTAACAACAAGCTTACTTGTAAGGTGCCTTCTACTAGTCAGACACATGTAGCTCAACCATCTGTACCACAAGCACCATCTGTACCACAAGCACCAGTGCCTTCTCAACCATCTCAAGCATCTGTACCGGGGCCTTCTCAACCATCTCAAGCATCTGTACCAGTGCCTTCTCAACCATCTCAAGCATCTGTACCAGTGCCTTCTCAACCATCTCAAGCATCTGTACCAGTGCCTTCTCAACCATCTCAAGCATATGTACCAGTGGCATCATCTGTACCAGTGGCATCTGTACCAGTGGCATCTCAAGCATCTAAGTTAGTTCCTGGTCAAGGTTCTCAGGCATCTCAATCTAAATCATCCAAAAAGTTGTCAGTTAGAAGGCCAAATGCACCATTTGTCCCATCTCAAGCATCTAAGTCAGATCCTGGTCAAGCTTCTCAGCCATCTCAATCTAAATCATCCAAAAAGTTGTCAGTTAGAAGGCCAAATGCACCATTTGTCCCACCAGGTCCAACAACGAGGTTAAAGGCATCAATAACTGTTGTAGGTCCAACAACAAGAAGGACAACACCAACTAAAAGAGCAGCACCAAAGTGGAAACCTTAGTTTACTTTTATGTCTGTTTTGGATTAGGATTGGACCTATAGTTGTTATGTTGTTTTGTTAACTTGGAATATTAGAATTGGTTATGTTAAGTTGTTTTGATCATGTAATATCAAGAAGGACAAGTTTTTGTTTTGACCTGTAATATCAGGCTGTTTGGATTGGACCTGTAATATCAGGTTCTTTTGTATGCAACTTAGTGGTATCCACCACCTTATAATTATATGTTTGGATTGTTACAGTATGTTACATTATGTTTTACATTGATACAAAAATGCTACTAGTTTTACAGTACGTTACATTGATCAAAATGCTACATTGATACAAAAATTGCTACATTATGTTTTACAGTATGTTACATTGATCAAAATGCTACTAGTTCAAAAATTCAAGTTGATACAAAAATTCAAATTCATAACGATACCATGTTCAAATTGAGACTGTGTTACATATGAATCTATTACAACATCATCCAAATTACCACAACTAACATAATAAAGAAGAATCTTTTCCATTTTTTCTAAGAATTCTTCATCTTCTTCTTTTCAATTTGTAACTCCATTATCTTATGTTTCAGCCCATCCTTCCTTTCCTTTAGATGATGTATCTCCATCTTTGCTCCATCAAGCTCATTTTGCAGCTTCTCCAACCTATTATTCTGCTTCTTTATAAACTGATCCTTCTCATCCACCACATCATCAAAGAACCATTGAAAGTATCCACACCCAGATTCAGATGAACCCTGTAATGGTGACATCCAGATTCATCTCAGCTATTGCAGGAACTATCAGAACAAGAATATATGAAAACCCATTTTAATTTCATGCTTACCTTGTAATGACGACAACCCCGGAATTTCTTCCCAAAGTTTGTGACGGTGGTAGCCCTTCGAAGAACCGCAGATTCTCCACAACCACATATAGGTCTCCATCGCAACTTTCCATCTAAGCTTCCATCTCTATTGCAATCGTACGAAAACCGGATCTCTGATGATGCTTCCTTCATCATATTGAGGGAATTTCAAATTCAAAATGGGAAAATTGAGGATTTCTGGAACCCTAGAATTTGAGGATTTCTGGAACCAGCTTGAAGATGATAACATTCCATGTCACCTGCCACGCATGCAAACCAAACGTCCGTTTGGGCCTTTTGGACGGAAAGGATTCCTATGGTCCTTTTGAAAGAATTATAGGACCAGTTTGATACTTTTTTTAGATAAAGGACCAAAATGGACCTTGGGGTAAAGTTAAAGGACTAAAAAGGGTATTTTGCCTTTTACTTTAAACTTTTTATGTAATTGTCATTATAAATATTTTGTAAATAATACAATATTTAAATAACAATTGTAATAAATAGAATAGAGTGAATAAAATTCTATTATTTCCCAATTAATTCTTTTTCTTTCCAATTATTTATTTATCGTTTATAATTCTTTAAATTGTATAATAACTGAAAATCAATTTCAATTACTTAAATTCAGAATAATAAACAAATAAATAAACATCATTGATCAATTAATAACTTCAATTATTTAATTCATTATTCATAATTCTCTAAATTATAATAATTAAAAAATATAATTTCAATTATTTAACTTAGAATGATAAATAATTAAATAATCATTGTTGACCAATTAATAAACCTCTTTTCAAATATTTATTCCATTATTCATAAATCTTTAAATTATATAATAACTGAAAACAAATTTCAATTATTTAAATTTAGGATAATAAATAATTAATAAACATTGTTTGATCAATTAATAAACCTTTTTTTCAAATATTTATTTCATTATTCATAAATCTTTAAATTATATAATAACTGAAAACAAATTTCAATTATTTAAATTTAGGATAATAAATAATTAATAAACATTGCTTTAGCATTGATCGATTAATAAATTTAGCGTTCGAAAATAAACAGCTCTCGACTCGAAAAAGTTATGAATTTTTAAAAATCAATAGATCAAAACGCTTGCAATGTAATGATGCAGATGGGAGATGGTATCTTAGGTCAAAATTTGGGGTACAACAGCTGCCCATATTTAAGTTTCTTCTATCTGGAGATATGAATATTAAAATCTTCGTTTCGACGAGATTGAAGGTACTTAAATACATAATACGCAAATTTTTACCCTAAGATACCGCCATTATGTTTGATAGGAATGCAGTGATTGAATTCACAGAGAAAGATATTGTATGAGACAAGACGATGCTGGAGGAATCAAACACCAACAAAACACAGAGACGTAGATTATACACTACTGGGGAAACGAGCTATCGACTTCAAACGACAGACTCTTGACAGCGAATAAAATTGAGGGAATACGACCTCTGACCCTAACGAAGAAGGCATCTTGCATAGGCCATAAAATAGATTATTGACCCAAAATAGTGAGTTCACAACTCGAGGTCAAAGATAGACAGAAAGTATCAAATTTGCTGGCGACAGATTACCGACTTCTGAAGGTAACGATTCATAACAAACTTTCTCTGCGAGATTTCCGGAGATATACTCATTAATGCCGAGATAATAATAAGATTGTAGATACGCAAGCTGCTCAAATAAAGAAGCTGTCACTTGCCGTCGTCCAAAGAAAATACCAATAACATACAAGCTGCTCAAATAAGGAGACTGCCACTTGCTGTCGTCCAAAGAAAATACCAATAACATACAAGCTGCTCAAATAAGGAGACTGCCACTTACTGTCGTCCAAAGAAAATACTAATAACATACAAGCTGCTCAAATAAAGAAGCTGCCGCTTGCTGTATTCCAGAAAAATCATAACGTACAAGTTGCTCGTGAAGAGCTGCCGCTTGTCGTTTTCCGAAAATAATAATAACGCACAAGTTGCTCGTGAAGAGCTGCCGCTTGTCATTTTCCAACGATGTCTATAACGTACAAGTTGCTCATGAAGAGACCGCCGCTTGTCGTTTTCCAACGATGTCTATAACGTACAAGTTGCTCATGAAGAGACCGCCGCTTGTCGTTTTCCCAAAATAATAATAACGCACAAGTTGCTCGTGAAGAGCTGCCGCTTGTCGTTTTCCCAAAATAATAATAACGCACAAGTTGCTCGTGAAGAGCTACAGCTTGTCGTTTTCCCAAAATAATAATAACGCACAAGTTGCTCGTGAAGAGCTGCCGCTTGTCGTTTTCCAACGATGTCTATAACGTACAAGTTGCTCATGAAGAGACCGCCGCTTGTCGTTTTCCGATGAGTAACTCAGAAAGAAGTTGCGATGACACTGGCAGAGAATAAAAATCTTCGTCAAAGAGAATCATGAATCAGTCCTTCCTGAGGAGATCACATACTTAAATGTGCAAAATAAATGCACCATACGTCTAGGTCGCGACTTCACTGGGGAAAATCATGAGATAGCCTACGCAAGAGACAACAACTTCGTCCAGGAATAACTAGAGAGAAAACAGTCAAACAGGACTCCATCCAATGAGAAAGTAACTCGATTGGGGAATTCATCCTATCCAGAAATGGACAAGGTAAGCTAAATCAAAAATCATCCACGAGGATTAGCTCTGTTGGAGAATTTAGAAAGGAGGCACATTTTCTGCCTAAGCTAACCTTCTACTTGGAAAGAAACATGTACGTTATTTGAATAAACAAAGTACAACCCAAAATCGATGGCAAATGTGAATATGTATGGCGATATAAGTGTAAATGAATAAATGAATGTTATGCTGATAAAACGAACAGATGGAATATCTTGAAGACGATAAGATGTCACGACAAGATAGATACTCGGCCAATCTTAAAAGGACGGAAAATAACTGGAATTGGAACCCCAAAGCAACGTCAGAGTGTATCACGCTACAAGGTTCAAGTCTTCTGAGGAGAAAAGCATTCAAATCCAATCTTCTAACACCAATAGACTACTGGCATGAGACAAAGCGTACCACACTTCAGAAATCGCCCAAATGAAGGTAGCCAAAACAACACTTAACTGGAACAACTGGGGAGTCACCAAACTTAGCACCACTAGAACCAAAAGTGTACACAACCAACACCTCATGACGGTTTGAAAGAAAACAAGTTCAACAAGCAGGGATAAAATACCGTACTGTTTTGCATTTCATGGCTTGACCATCCTTGGAACAAACTGTTAATATTCCCTTCGTTATTCACGACACATTTTTAAAATAAGAATATTTTAAGTAAATTTGTTTCAAGTATTTCCATAAAAATTAAAATTTTGCCCACAAAAGGTAAATGCTCAAATTTCATTAATAATATGATAGTTCACTAACAATGCGACTCCAACGGTTTACAAAAGTTTGGGAAATAGTACATGAAATAAAAAGGTTACACCAAAAACCATGATAACTATTCTCCCTAACAACTTCGAATTCCGGAATGTGCTCAAATGCCAAGATTGGCCTGACCAAAAGCTTGCCTAAGCCGCCCCTTCGGGTTTTCAACTTATCAAACTGTCAACTCAAACCTAAGCGAAATATTTCTTGATTGCATCGGCGTTCATGGAACACAGGAGCTCTTCACCGTCCATATTGGTGAGAATCAAAGCACCTCCAGAGAAAACTCTCTTAACGACATACGGTCCTTCATAATTCGGAGCCCACTTGCCCCTTGAATCAGGTTGGAAAGATAATATCTTCTTGAGCACAAGGTCACCTTCTCTGAACTCGCGTGGTCGAACCTTCTTATCAAAAGCCTTCTTCATTCTCTGCTGATACAACTGACCGTGACACAAAGCTGTCAATCTCTTCTCTTCGATTAAATTCAACTGATCATATCTACTTTGACATCATTCAGCCTCAGAAAGTTTAGCTTCCATCAACACTCTCAGAGACGGAATCTCAACCTCCACGGGGAGTACTGCTTCCATACCATAAACTAGGGAAAATGGGGTTGTGCCTGTTGAAGTTCGAACTGAAGTACGGTATCCATGTAAAGCAAACGGAAGCATTTCATGCCAATCTTTATAAGTTACCACCATCTTCTGGACAATCTTTTTGATGTTCTTGTTAGCAGCTTCAACAGCCCCATTCATCTTCGGTCTGTAAGGAGAAGAATTATGATGTTCGATCTTGAACTCTTCACAAAGCTCTCTCATCATCTTGTTATTCAAATTCGAACCATTATCAGTAATGATCTTGCTCGGGATACCGTATCGACAAATGATCTGATTCTTGATAAATCTGACTACCACCTGTCTGGTTACATTAGCATAAGATGCTGCTTCCACCCATTTAGTAAAATAATCGATCGCTACCAAGATGAAACGATGACCATTTGAAGCTTTGGGTTCAATAATTCCAATCATATCAATGCCCCACATAGAAAAAGGCCAAGGTGAAGAGATAACGTTGAGGAGGGTCGGTGGCACATGCATCTTGTCCGCATAAATCTGGCATTTATGACACTTCTTCACATATTTGCAGCAATCGGATTCCATTGTCATCCAATAGTAACCAGCTCTCAACATCTTTCTAGCCATTGCATGTCCATTGGAATGAGTGCCAAAGGATCCTTCATGTACTTCTTGCATCAGCATGTCTGCTTCACGTCTGTCTACACGTCTGAGCAAGACCATGTCATAATTCCTCTTATATAAAACTTCTTCATTGAGAAAGAAACTGCTTGCTAATCTTCTCAACGTCTTCCTATCTTTATTGGATTCCCCAGGCGGGTACTCTTGAGTTTGAAGAACACGTTTAATGTCATAGAACCACGGTTTGTCGTCGGTAACCTCTTCTACCGAGAACACATGAGCAGGTCTGTCGAGGCGCATAACTCGGATCATAGGCACATCGTTCCAACCATTCACTTGAAACATTAAAGACAAAGTAGCCAAAGCATCAGCCATTTGGTTTTCATCTCTAGGGATATGATGTAATTCCACCTTATTGAAGAAAGTTAACAATCTTCTAGCATAGTCTCTGTAAGGGATCAAACCAGGATGACGAGTTTCCCATTATCCTTTGATTTGATTAATCACCAATGCCGAATCTCCGTAAATATCAAGAATCTTAATCCTTAGATCCACTGCTTCTTCGAGACCCATAATACATGCCTCATATTCCGCCATGTT